AAAAGATAACGGTTAAAAAAATTTCTTATTTTTGCCTAGTTTCATAATTCAATATTTTGAAATTTTTCATATGAAAATGAGTTTTAAAAGATTAAAATTTAAAACTTTATCTCGATGATACTATTATCTAAGACACATGCTCCCTTAATAGAGTTTAAAGGGGCTCTGCTCGTTTAAATGTGAAGATTTTCGAAGGGACCGCTGAGGATTCTAATGTGAACTCCATTTTTTTCCCTTGTATTCTGACAGAATAAAGCTTATATCAATGTGAACTCCGAGGTAAATATGTCATTATTAGTCGATATTCCCTATCAAACTTCTCAGATTGTCTTCATACACTCTTCGAAACAATGTTGACATAGTGACGGAATTTAATGCTGAGTTATAAAAGCTATTTGGCCTGATAACATCAGTTAAATTAATCTTTAATTTAAAGATTATTAAGAATGTATCTGCACTCTATACGAAAAAATCTCGACTATGTCTAAGAAAAAGTTCTCACAAAAATCACATATACAATCTTTACAGAATTTTTTCTACTTACTCATTAGTTTTTTATGATTTTTCGTAAAACTTTTCATGAGAATAGGTAACATTTGTTGACTAAAGTGGTGTGTTTGCATGAATGTCTCAACACTAGATACACTTTATTCATTGATTCTGAATTAATATGACATCTTTTTTCTGTCCATAAATTAATCTTGATCTCTCTTCTTCTAAACTCCAGCGTGTCTGCAGCAACAGATGCAGAGTACACTCAACATGTGCGAGATAGCCCTAAAAAATGGCGTCGTATCACAGGTTATATTTATCAGCTAACTTATAATTATTTCCGAGCTGCACAGTAACTGGTTAACACCTGTCTACAACAAAAGAACAATACCGCCTACTGCATTATGTGGACTTTAAAACAGTTTGCCTGTACGACTGATAAAGTTATGAAGATGAATTAAATATTAGGATTGAGTTGCTGTCGGTTGCGTTGTCTGTAAAAGCAATGCACAATTGTCTGCTGCATAATTTTCTTTTTAGAATATAAAAGGTAAGGTAAGAAGAGAAAGAACATTCCTGAAGTAAAATCCTTCGAAGAGCTTGAGGATTCAAAATTTGGCTCTCTTTTATGTTTATAAGTGATGAATATGTTGAATTTAGATGGATTCTGTGATTAAAAATTGATATAATTTTTTCTGGTTTATTCTATTTTTTTAGATGTCTCTCACCGGCATAAATGAAATTTAGTCAACAGATTTAGTTACATGCACAAGAATACGGTCACGAAAAATGAATAGCGATGATTTAAGATGTCATGAATAGTCACCCCCTCTTTTTCTTAGCGAAAACTATTTGTTTGTGTGTTTTTCATGCATCTAGCCCTTTTCTTCGTCTCTCAGTATCAAACGGTCTGTTTCAGTCTGTCCCGGTGCGCAAAATATTTATTATGACGTGTGATACAGCGAATAAAGCCGCTTCTATTTACGCTCATTTCCTCCATTCCTCCCTTCAAGGTCAAATTCTTTTCTCTATTATTCTGGACAATGAAGAATGATCTTGACTTCATGTACTCCGCTCGAGAAGTCCATTCATTTTACATATTCAGAAGAAAAGCGCTCTAAGACTAAAACTAAATGTGACTAAGACTGGTGCTCTTCTTTTACACGATCTTAGGTGGAATGATCATGCTAAGGACATTACTCTTGCTTGTCGGCGCAAGCTTTGAGCATTGAATCGTGCCTTTTGATTAGCTTCAACTGAAGTTCGGCGCCGAATCTATTTTCTTCTATTCTTTCCAAAACTGACTATTGCTGTACCTTATATGACAGTTCGTTTTCTCTTACTGTTCTTGATTCTGTAAAAAAACTTGCTTTTCGTGTTATTTCTCGCAATTTTGACTATCGTTCTTCTAGTTCTCTATGTGTCTCAACTTTCTCTTCCAAATCTCACTCTTCGTCGTAAATACTTTAGACTGCTACAGTTTTTCAAATTTATCATCGTCTAAGTCCTATTTCTCTTTCTTATACTATTCATTGTCCTCACTACTCATCTTTATGTCTTCATCATTCTTAATATATTCGCATTCCATCTTCTGTTGATGGTTATTCTCCGCAAACGGTGCATTCTTCTTTTTTTTATTCAACTATTGCTGATTAGAATAGTCTCCCAGAGTCAGTTATTTGTCTTTCTTCTTTAACGTCTTTCAAAACAGCTTTATGTCAGTATCTCTTCCAGTGAAACATTTGTCAGTTAAGAATTTATATTTGTCCTTTTTTTTACTACTTCTGGTTCTAACCTTAGTTATCTTATTTATTTTGTTCTTTTTATTACTCTTTTTGTGTCGTTTGGCTTGATTCATTTATTACAGGTCAGCGACCTTTGATGACTCTCTCACTTTTCGTGAATAAACAATCTTAGTCTTAGTCTTAGTCTGGTCCATAATAAAAGAATGTAGATTTAGCAGACACCATTCAGTTTATGACCGTTTTAGTTATGATTTTCTTTTTTCTCATCCGTCTAAACATATTTTCGTGTCTTTCAAACCGTTCTTAGTGCATGCGCGTAACAACTCTTATTTCGTTTCCTTCCTTTGGCTATTCTGGTGTTTCATAAGGTAATATGCTTGGATCGTTTCTATTTATTTAGATTAATAACTTCCTTCTTTCTCTCCTCCATGATTGTAAAATCTGTCTTTCTAATTGTTCCTCTCTCTTCTGATCCGTCTAGTTTTTCTTGCGTTCAAAATTGTAAAATTCTGCTTCTCATTGCTCTTGCTTGTCGGCACAAGTTGAAAAGACTGATTTGTGTTTTGAGCTGAATTCCGACAGAAGTTTGGCATGGAAGTTTTCACTCTAACATTCTTCTTAACAAATGTTGTGCTTTATTATTTTGCTCTCTCTATTCTTGATCTTGTAATTTTGAATATCGTTCTTCTAGCTCGTTACTTATATGACAACTCTTTCTTGTCGTAAATATTTCAGATTTGTGCCGTTCTTTACAGTCCAGCATCATCTCAGTCCTCTTTCTATTATTAATACTATTTAGTGTCCTCACTATTCTTTATACTGTCATCATTCTAAATATGTTCGCACTCCACCATCTGTCAATGAGTTTTCTTTACAAGTAGTTTTTTCTTCCTTTTTCTATTCAACTGTTATTACGTGGACTAAACTGTCTGAGTCAGTAATTCATTTTTCTTCCGTGAAGTCTTTCAAAAAAGCTCTGTCCGGTATCTCATACAATAAAAGTCAGCCATGTTTTCAATCTTTCAAAACCGTGTTAGTTATTCTCTTTAACTATATTCTTTTTGTGTTTAGTTTATCATTTATTTATTTTTCTGTTACACACTCTAATTCTTTTTCGTTCGTTTTTCTGTCTATTTTGTGTTTGTAGTTTGAAGATCTTTTATGACTCTCACTCTTCAAAGTCTTAGATTTGATGACATGGTGATCTGTTTATTTCATATACTTTTTCATTGTTTAGAAACACAATCTGAGCACAAAAGGGGTTTTATCTTCACTTCACACCAGCTACGATTGGTATAGAGAGTGTTCTAATAGTGAATATCGGTAATTGTAGCTTGCGTGGAAAGTGAAGATGAAATCCCTTTTGTGCTCAGATTGTATTGATAAACAATGAAAAAGTACATCAAATAAGGAAATCATCGTGCCATCAGATCCCGTATTATCAGGACAAAATAGTAGACCAAAACTCTCAGTGTTACAAATATTTTCCAGTGAATTTGTTATTCTAGCAGAGAAAAACGTTTTTTAGTAGGAACGCATCATAGAAACGAGTTAATCTTTCTGTTTACTGTTTGTTATCAAATGATCATTGTTAAAAAATATTTGCTAACGAAACATTTTTCCACATCCATACTAAAATCAATTTGTAGGAGAACACTATCCAAACACAGTTCAATATCATTTGACGTTTTATCTAAATTAACTATTGTTGAAATGAGATAAAAAAATGTTTACTTTAGAATTCAGCATTCGACCAAGTTAGAGCACTTTTCTTACATTTCTGTTTAAAGATTACTACAAAAACTGTCGTTTGTTGAAATAATTTGAATGGATAGGAGAAAAATATTAGGTAGAAAACTGTGGAAAGCTTTGAGACAGACAACTTGCAAACATAAAAAGTAGTTTTTAGATTTTACTGGTTGATAATCGATAATATAAAATAAATATTTTCCTTTTTGATCAACTTGTCCCAACATGCAATGAATATAGCTCGATTTGTTGTTTAATAGAACTAGTTTAATAAAAATAAAGTTAAACGGTCATCTGGTGGCACTTAAGAAACTCTATCTTTCAGCAGTGATTCGATCAGTCTTTTCGAGCCATTCACGAAGTTCGTATAGTTTTAATATGTTTGAAAGTTATTGATCGCAGAGTTTTGCAAAATTTTCTATCGATACGTTTTCTCTTACATTTGTACAAAAACAACGATTTCATACGATTTGTTAATGTACAGTGTTTCTTTTTACTCCTGCTCCTGCCTCTTCTCATTCAAAACTTTTGTTTAATTAACCGATAATTATTCACCAACATTTCTTTATTTGTTTCTTTATCGTCGACAGATTAAACTGAAAAGCATGTATCAACACTTTCTCCTTCACGTAAGCTGATGTATAAGTGCATACATTAAGGATTTTATTTTGTTATCTAGTTTCTTGCTTTCTTTATATAGATAAGTATTGATCTTTTCTAAAAAGAACTACTGCAGTGTTAAATTTATTGAATTCGGCTACGTACAGACTATAGACACCGAACAGTGGGTTTAGTTTTGCAGTTTGCTGTCAAGCTAGGTTCATATGTTCGAATCTCTATTCGTATACAAATGGATTTTATCTTTTTCAATAGTTTTAGTTTAGAATACTAGAATAAATTAGTTTTTTTCTTCTTGTATTCTGAAAGAATAAAGTTTATATCTTCAATTCTTTACGATTTAAAGTTTTAATACGATCGTTTTAAATACGATTTTTTTATTTGTTTTAGATAAATATGAGTAGTGATCGTGATAGTCATTCTCGATCTTCAAGATCTCGTCATCGTTATTTAGTAAAATTAAGAGGACTACCATATTCAGCAACAAAAAATGATGTTCATAAATTTCTTAAACGTAAGTTTCTTAGTAATCGACTATTCATTTCATATACATGACACAGTGGGCATTCAGGCGGTGGACATTTATTAAAAAATCGAAAATGCGGTTTTTTAAAATTAAAATAGTGGCAAATATACTTTGATAGATGGGCTATCTAATGGCGTAAAAATTTTTGTTTCGAACGTGGAATTTGCGGGTAAAAAATATTGAAGAAAAAATACTTCTTATATTCGTGACCTCTATGGAAAATTAATTTTTTATTGAATTGAATTACATTTAAATTTTCGAAACGTGTTATTTGGAATCAAGATCACGCTTCTAGCTACCTATTGGTAAAAAGAAAGTTCGTCTCAGATCAAGTTTTTTTAGCGATGACAGAGTTTTTTCCTAAAAGAGGCGATTTTTTCGAGAGCTATGTTCAGTGTAATGAGTTTCCGAAGCTCCAAATTCGTTGAAAATTTCATAGAATGTGCATCGACATAGCCTGAATCTGTGGTGATAGCAATTTTATGCATTTTTTCTTCTAGATTGAGATCCATTTTTTCTAGAAAACCGTCGGTTTTCCAGATATTTTACATTTTTTTCAGCCAAATTATCATAATAGCATAATATTCAAGAAATAACATGATATTTGAAATCACCGTGAAAAACTGCATGGAATAATATGAATTTTATAATTTTTTTGGAAGAATAATAAAACTTTCGACAAAAATTTAGGACATGAGCAAGAAATTTTCGCCAGAAAAATTTTTTTTTCGAAATTTTTACTTTATGATTTATATCAATATCTGAGTTATAATACAGCAACTTTGTTTAAAATAGTCACATTCTGAGTCAAAAAATTACATGTACGCCTGCTCTATAGAAAAATGCCCACTGTGCATGTGTCATATGTGGAGAGAAAACGTCATTTAGAAAATGATTTGTTTTTACAAAGTTAATTGCATAACTATAAAAGAAAATATTTTTCTTTCTATTTAGCCTGTCATGTATTGAATGGTGATGATGGTATTCATATGTTAAAAATTGGAGATGGACGCTCATCTGGGGAATGTTTTGTTGATTTAGAATCCGATGAAGATGTTCGAGTTGCATTATTAAAATCAAAAGATCATATGGAAAATAGATATATTGAAAGTAAGACAGAACACTTACAAGTATGAATGCTAGTTTCGAAAAAAAAAAATCTTCTGCACTCGACATATTTTTAACTCTGAGAATCAACAAAACAAAGAAATTTCGCTACACATTTATTTTAAGTCAAGATTTTTTTCACAAAACGTATAAAAACATGCTTGAATAATTAATTTATTGCTTATTTTTACATAATTTCATCGCTTTTTTATTCTAGTATTTCGCGCTAAAAATGCCGAATATAATTTTTATGTTAAAAACAATGGGTTAATATCATGGCGAGAACCCGTTGTTCGTGTACGTGGTTTACCTTATCGATGTTCAACGTCGGATATTCAAGAACTTTTTAGTGGTATGTTTATTAATGTAACTTGTAATAATTTGGACAGAAATTACTTTTGTTTTATTTATAGGCATTGAAATATCAAAAAATGGAGTGTATATTGCACGTGATGTTGAAGACCGGGCTACAGGCGATGGTTTTGTCGCTTTTATAAATATGGATAATGCCTATGAAGCGATGGAAATAAAACGAAAACAGATTGGACACAGGTGAAAGGCGGGGAATGTTACAGACAATTTTGTTTAGATACGTAGACAGGGATACAAAATGACTAATTGTGGGACTGGTAGACTTGGGGAAGGGGTGCGGGCGGAGGGGGATTAAAATTAACACAAAAGGTGGAGGAGTTAACATATTTGGCGTTGATCGAGGTAGTCGTGACGTATTGTGTTTGATTTGTGTTAGTCGTATCACTAGTATTTGTTGCTGTTTATTGCTTTCATTCTCTTGTTATTGATTAGTATTGATTTTTATTTTAAAGATATATTGAAATTTATCCAAGTACATACGAAGAAGCTCGACAACGAATTGTTAAAGATACAGGATCAAATTCAACAAAATTTAGCAGACCAAAACATTTTATGAGAAGAGAAAATGGAAGAGGTGGAAGAAGATCAAGAACAAGATCAAGATCAGAAAGCCAAGGTATATCAGCGATTATTATCGATTTTATAACGAATTATGTCGTTCGAATCTGAAAGGATTTTCAAAAAAGTATACCTACAAGAAACCTAACTACTGAGAAGGGTTTGTCATACCCACACAATTTTTACCTATGCCACTATATAGTCGATCTTCGGATGACCAGAAGAGTTACTTTTAAATTAATCTGGTCTGTAGATTATACCCGTGGACGAACTGTATTGTTAGATTTTTCTTCGTTTGTTATCCTAAATCTAAGTCACGTAGAAAAGCACACACATATTCACTCAAGAATAACATCTACTGCTTTTTCATTAGAATGCAACGCACTAAAACAAAAAAAATGAGATATTTTGCGAGCAAGATTATTAAGTTTTTTTNACACACATATTCACTCAAGAATAACATCTACTGCTTTTTCATTAGAATGCAACGCACTAAAACAAAAAAAATGAGATATTTTGCGAGCAAGATTATTAAGTTTTTTTCATTGTTCTTCATGTTTCGCCTACTGGTGTACTACGATCATAACAAATCTCGGTGCTGATTTAAGGAGGAATTAACCTCATTGTATCTAGAGATTGATAAAAAACTCTGTTTTTTTGTGAAGTCGACTGATTATAAGACATTTCTCGTCTTAATCAATAATTTCAATCCCGTTAACAATTAGAGAAAACGAAACGAAATTTGTCTTGTATCAAGGCTTGGACAGAATTAGAGATTCTTAATAGCAAAAAAGTAGTGATCTTTTATAAGTATCTGCTTGGAATTGTTTCATTCCTAACTGTACTTTGAAGATTTTGCTCAGCCGCAGATCCAGTATTTCTCATGGTTAGATAAAAAAATTTGTGATACATGTGATCACCATAGAAACGAAAATTTTTAAGAGAGTTCTGCTAGCAAAAAATGATTTTTTTGCTTATAAGGTATGTGCGATCGCCCGTACCTTGGATCTACATCTGGATTTGTTGTTTATGGATGAAGAGGGAAATGGAATACAACGTTTGATACCACTATGGACTAATTAAACTAACGAAAGTACTGAGGAATAGGATTTTCTCGTTATGCCTCTTCTTTTTATAATTATAGATCGTCGAGCAGATCGTTCTTTGTCACCACGACCCCGTAATAACAATCGACGAAATCCACCACCTCGAAGTCGTAGTCCAATTCGTCGTCGTTCATTATCTCGTTCGCCTCGGAAATATGCCGTCAAAATGCGTGGTTTACCATTTCGTGTGACTGAAAATGATATAAAAAAAGTATGTTTTATCCCTTTCATTCTATTCACATTTTCTAAAAGTTTAAGAGCATAATGATAGCAACAATTATCTCTCTCTTGATTCTTACAAACATCCGCGTAAATTATCATCTTCATCACCAACATTAAACTCAGCGTATATCTAACATCAAATCATCTTATTCTCGTATGTTTGTCACTTTTCGTGTGCCATCTTCCTCGTCCATTTTCTCATCTTTAGGTTAGATAGTAAAAGAAACGTATTGATACGTCACTTGTTTGTCTGTGCCTTGTATTTCAGCCTCTCTATTACTTTGTACTTTTTTTTACTTTGTTTCATTACGGCTGTTGCAGAATTAAACGTAAACTTAACGTTAAACAGTTTCACTATGAATGTTTAATTCTTTTCTAGTTTTTTTCTTCATTTTGTGAACCGTCGGCAGTTGAAATATTTCGTGATCGTGAAACAAATCGTCCGAATGGTGATGCATTAGCTTATTTTGATACCGAGAATGATGCACAAGAAGCATTAAAATTTGATCAGAAATATATTGGTATGTAATTTGTCAATATACTTTATTCTTTATTATTTATGTTAAATTAATTTCTTTTTCTTTTCAAGGGAATCGTTATGTTGAATTATATTATGATTCATCTCGTACATTCCGTAATAATGGTTATAGACGTAGTAGATCATTACAATCGCCAAGACAAAATCGAAATGGATCTCGATCACACAGTCGAACAAGACAACGAACAAGAACTCGATCAAGATCGGACAGAAGTAAAAGTAAGAGACTCATTTTTTCTTATTTAATAATTATGATGAGATACTTTTGAAAAAAAATGTTTTTTGAATCGTTACAGTGCTAGTGCTATACCAATTTACAACGGTAGTTGATTCTTTCGGATGAGTTTATTTCACGTTCAGACATAATGAATTAGTTCTTAATTTGAAAAAGAAAATGTTTAATACGGGAGTGCGTCTCATTTGAGTGTATTCTCATTTAAGTACATCTTATTTTAGTGTCCCTTATTTGGATGCGTTTTCAATTACACCACTCGTTCTTGAAAATATTTTGAAACTTTTGAGCAGTTTCTGTCACCACTGTTTGTTATTAATTCTTAGTGGCTAGTCATCTTTTATTTTCATTTCAAAAAGCATGTGAACATTATTTTGACAATGCAGTTTCATTTCAAGAAGAAAAACGTTTATACTAGCAGCAAAGCATCTTCCAATTGTCGAAAACATAATCTAACGGTTGAGTTAAACTAGACCTAGATTAAAATCATCTGTTATACGTTGTTCAATCTTTGATGTTTCCATTTTTTTCGACCTGTATATGTCCCAGCACATAAATATTCACTATCATGTTGAACTAAGACATAGTGTGCTTGAAGTGTTTCAGTCAATCGCCATACAGTCAGTTGTATTTTTAGTAGACGTAACAGTTGAGAATGTCATGATTCAACATCATTATTTGCTCGACTATTCTGACCAAAAGCATTTCCTACTACTGATTTAACCAGGCGTTCGACAAATAATGATAAAACGGTTGCATTCTATGTCGTATACGTAATGGTGTAGAATAAACTTGGTGGATTGTACGTGAATATGCTGGTAGAAATAGAATGTCTGAGACAAAAAATAACTAGCTACTAAGAATTAATAACAAACAGTGGTGACAGAAACTGTTCAAAAGTTTCAAAATTTTTTCAAGAATGAGTGATGTAATTGAAAACATACCCGAATAAGACGCATTAAAATGAGACACTCAAGTGAAGCCCCACCGTGTAATACATATATATTCATTTTTCCGCAAGAATTCTGATCATTTTTTTATTTATTTATTAAGGTGGTTCTCGACATGATCGCCGATAGTATGAGTTATTGTTTCATGTGAATATATCCACCTACGTACGTCCAAAACAAACCCACTCGAATTCATTTCTCCTTTGTTTTTTAATTTTTGTACGTTTGTTTTTTGTTTAAAATGTTATTTGTTATCAATGTTACGTTGTTGCTAATGTAAAACGTAGAATTGTCGATAAGACGATGACCATAACCATGAAACTGTAATTTATTTGAATATAAAATTCGATCAGTTTTATTTGAGTGATTGGATAAGATATTGGCTCTTTTTTTGTATTTATAATAATTGTTAGGTATTGAGTTTAAACGTGGACTATGATTTCATCTGTGTTTCGGTCAACATATGAAGAAGAATTCATAAAAGATCATAACCGAAGAATACGATTGTTTATCATCAAATATATTTAAAATATTTACTGCTGTATGTCTCGTTGCAGATCCTGTTAAGTGTATTTACTTTTTATCCGGTTAGTCAATAGTAACAATACTTCGGATCCTGTCTCAAATCCAACGTAATAAGACAACGAATTATAACCAAATACAACTTTCTTGCTCATAATATTTTAAAGTTTGTACCATAAGTTGTCTACATAAACATTTTAAATATAATATTTATTTTCTATTTTCCAATCAGCATTAGCTTGATGGTTTCTTTAGATTTGTAATAAGACTACAATATTATTAAGAAGGAAAAAGCAGCACTAGTGCTGAAAAAAGTGCCGAAAAATGCTGAACGCTATAAGATAGTCAAGTGTGAGAGTTTGTGCTTCTTAATATTCAAGATGGTGGAAGGTCAGATGTTCGAATCTACTCTAAATCACTTTTTTTTTCAAATTTTTGTTTTGTTCTTGTTGGATTTCAATTACTTTTTCCATACAGAATCTGTATTCATCTTTTTTTTGTGAATTTAAGAGAAATGTCTTTGAAAATAGAGAATCAATTTCAGTTTTGTACTTCAGAAAATGCTTGATCTACCTTTTCTGTTCTCGTTCTTTTGACTTCTGGGACTCTCTTCCTCCTGTAGGATTTCTTTTATGACTACATCAAGTTCTACTTCTGGCACTTTGCCAGGTGATATTTTTGGTTTAAAACCTGATCAATTTCTAATGTGTTTGTGGAGCAAGAATATGGAGAACATATTAGAAAGATTTTATAATTTCAACTTCTCGATACAATAAACGACGTTCAGGCAACAAGTGTGGAAGATATTCTCAGTATATTCTCTAAAAGTCAAAAATCCAATGATTAATGATATTCAAAAACAATAGACGATATCGGAGCGAGTAGCTCTGAAATAGAAAACTGCAGTTCAGAAGATGAAGACGAAGAAGATTTAGTGGATAATTGCTAGGACGATGAAACAGATGATCAAGGTCAGTATAGTGGAGATAATTTGTCAAATGAAGACGATGATGAATATGTTTTATCGAGAGATTTATCTCAAACACAAAGGACGATATTTTCTGGTATCCGAGAGTTTGACAAAATCAATCCAAAACGATCAAGTTCTTATTTTCATGTCAAGATTGGCGACAAATGGAAATACTTACACGAACAATCAGCGTGTTGGCTGCTAACAGACAACAAAACACATTCATCCAGTGATAGACTGAAACGTGTCATTGAATCTGGACAACAAGAATAAACAATGTCTTTTTTTATTGAAGTTCAAGAACTTTTTCCACTTTATTAAAGGGAAAAAATGAAAAAAAACAAAGAAAATGGTAGGATTTGAACACACAGCCTTATCCGCCATCTTGAAATTTTAAGTCCTAAAAGGTACTAGAAAGTGCTATCCATAAAAAGTGCTTTTCCCCCCTTGAATATTATTCTTTTATGTTGGCTCATTTTGTGAAATTGCACAAAGTGACCACCAAATATAACCCGATCTTCTCAAAAATATATTCTGTCTACTTATCCACATATTTTCCTAGTAAATGCGCTAATTTAAAAGGACTCGAATACTGAATAAGTCTTTGTAAGATAACTTTAAATAAGCCTGAAGGATACTGATGAAAAAATACCGTCTAAGCACCTAAACATACTAATTGTGGATCAGCTGACTGAAAACATTTTTATCAACGTACCTGTACTATAACTGTTTGGCTTTGTGTGTGTACATGTATATATAAACATCCCTTATTTTTGAAAAAATAATAAAGTTATTTTCACTAATACAAAGATGACTCACTTAACATGCACAAGATCCACTAGTCTATTACACAAAACATTATTACAGTAACAAGAATCACAGTTCTTCTAAATTTTAGATTTTGTTTTGCATCATTTCTTCTTTTAAATTTTTACTCGTCTTTTAAGTGAACTAAAAGGTAACGCATACAGCGTACATTATATCTGAGTGATATCTCTTTCTATTTGAATGACTGGTATTTAACAATTGTACTCCAGTTATTCTCTCTTAAGTCTTTGTTGTACACTGTGTGCCCACGTGAACAGTGCTGGGCGAGTCCGAGTCATGACTTGGACTCGAGTCGCATTCTTTTAATGATTCTGACTTGACTCTGACTCGAAAATTGGAAGACGTTGACTCGACTGTTTGACTCGAGTCATTCATTCGAAAAAAATCCTATTCGTTAACTGCTTTGCATACATTTCCTCTTGTATAAATTTGGGTTATTTCTGAATACTCTTTCTTATTCTATTTTATTGCTACGTTTCAACATCAAAGACGTCTTCATCAGACAAAAGTAGAATAAATGTGAAGAACATATAATTAATTAGAGTATATATATATGTAAAATTAAAAAATAGATAATGAATACCAAAAAGTTGTAGTTAACGTTCTCTATAAAGATAAATAGTAATCGGAAAAAAATAGAAAAATAATATTGACTCGACTCGACTCGAAAACACTGGTGACTCGATTTGACTCGACTCAAAATCGCTATGACATGGCTCGGATTCGACTCGAAAAATAGCTTGACTCGCCCAGCACTGCACGTGAAGTCTACTTTTGCATGGGTCTATTTTGTCTATTTTTGTAAGTCGTGGCTCTACAAAGTTAGGGAACGTCTTTATTTGTAGCTTGAATAATAATCAAACAAAGTCCAACAACTACTATACATTTCAAAAAATAGTGTACTCAGTCATTTATTGAATAGCTTTTAATGAAAATGGACAAACTTACGGTTTTTTCCGTTCGATAGAGAAGACTAGCACATATACTCCCATTAAAAAGTTTACAATCCTTTTTCGAAGTCGGTTTTAGATGGAATCCCTCAAAGGCTATTTCGAAATTCAAAGGAGGAAATAAGTACAAAGAATTAATGACTAAATCGAAGGAAAAGGAGCACTGTAGTTAGAATGTGGTAATAGAATCTGGAATAGAATTTGATACTATATTTCTCCTGTCCAAAAGTATTTTTGAAAACATATCAAGGTTGGCATAGCGTAAGTTGCAGTCTCGTGTCCCCTACAAACTAAACATACTTTTTAAATCTTGACTTTCCACTATCGAACTCAAAGTCTTTCATCAAAGACACACAAATCATCAAAGAATCTGATCAGAAATCATGAAATTTTCCCCACTCTAAACGTATCAGAAAATGGAACTACCTTATGAGTGTATACTTACCTTGATGTCCATTTGTTGTGATTTTGTCACTGTTCTCGATAATAATAATTAAAATGTTTGAACTGCTGGTTCCTGTTTTGGAGAGCTTGCAGTTCGATCAAAAATAATCGTAGAAGCGTCATTCTTGCATCGTTTGAGAGACAATGATCTATGGTCATAGTTTCAAAAAAAAATTTTAAAATAACTTTTTTACGGTATTAGATTATAGTTAATAAGGGCTAACTAATGCTAATTAGCATCACTCTGGTGCTTTACACTTTTGTTGTATTTACTGCTTTGTTGAGTAGCGAAGTTTTGAAGATAAAAATAAAAACATTTTCTCTTACGGCCTAGTGAACTGAGCATGGGAAGTTTAAACTAATACAAAAGTTGTTTATAACACTCGTCTTCAAGGCGTGAAATATTTCTTTCCAGCGGAAGGTTGACTAAAGTCCTAGGTCCGCATGCAACTTTTTCGAAAATATAAAATTTTTGAAGACTTATTTCGTTTTTTGAAGAAATATATATCTGTATCTATATAATTTTGTATTATGAACATTTTTTTGTTTCCAGCATTTTAGTAAACAATGCTTTTCCATTGAACCATGATCGACAAACCAAGTCAACTTTCGCGATGAAATCGCGGCGCGAATCGCGCTAAAAAATCGCGTCGCGACGCGATCGCTATAAGACTCGCGAAATAAGACGCGATTTTAGCGATCGCTATTTTGTCGCGATATACTACTGAATGGGATGTATATTTGCTATTCTCGC